CATCGCTCGCTCGTAACTGCAAGCTCAAAGCTCATTCTCGAATGCATGAATAAGGTGTGTGCAAAAAAATCCGCATCACATAGGTCACTTTAAGTCATGACACATCTGGTTATATGGTGTGTGCAAAAATAACCCGCATCACATTGGTCACTTTAAGTCATGACACATCTCGTTATGTGGTGTGTGCAAAAATAATCCGCATCACATTGGTCACTTAACGTCGCGACACACCTGGTTATATGGTATGTCAAAAATAATCCGCATCACCTTGGTCACGTTAAGTCATGACACATCTGGTTATATGGTATGTCAAAAATAATCTGCATCACATTGGTCACTTTAAGTCGTGACACATCTGGTTAAATGGCATGTCAAACGTATTCTGGCGAGCTCAAACAAGCCCACGGGACTGGCAGTAGATAGCTTCCTTTCCATCCATGCATCGTGCATATATTTTGGAGTCACCAGCGAACAAAGCATGGTATTGCATCGCTCTTAGAATCGCTGCACATCGTATGTGCGATGCTTATGCACCAGACTTGTCCTTGCTTCCAGGAGAAGCGGATCCAATTCCGAAATCGATTCCGTTTTGGACTGTATCCGGTCCGTATTCGGCTTCACTGGTTGGTTGGCTGCAACGGATTCGAAATCGATTCACTTAGTTCGCGACAGAACCAGAACTGATTGGAATCCTCTTTGCCCGCCTCACAAAATGATTCAAACTCAATATGGGGCTCTTTGCATGGTCGGTTCATCACCGCACAAGGTTGGCTGCTCGAAAAAAAAATTATCCAAAAAACTTGTGCACTAATCGCTGAGTAGACGGTGATGCTGAGGCTGCGTTGGGAGGTTAGAATTTCAAGACCCCAAAAAAGACCTCAAAATCCCACTGTTTTGAAGAAAATCAAGTGTGTGTCCCTACCCGGGACTGTTTTGTGTTTTCAAGTCATAATAAAATGGCACCATTCACGCATCGCAATATTCAATTTGAACTCAGCGCAAATATAGCGATGTTTGTGTTGCCTAATGCAGATGAATCGTAATAGCCCTGTGGTCTTCCACACACTGCAATAGCTTGAGCATAAGTGATAACCACCGAAGTATGTGCATGTACACGCAAACACACACTCGCAATAGGCATATCGGCAGACACAGAATATTCATACAGTCGTTTATTTCATGTCTGCCCTGCTTTAAAAACAAAACTTGATTCAGAGTAGGAGCCAATATCGGCAAAGCCCAGTGCTACAGTCAGATTCGAATCGGAATGCAATTTTCAACAGTCCATTCGAATCACATTCCGATTTGGTTCCACTCCCTTTAGCACAGATTTAAAGTCGACTCTTCCGTCATGGAAATAAATCAAAAGTCCATCCGCATGGCTTCCAACGATCACCCAGTACATGTCGCTGTGTGCAGACACATAGCCCTCACATCTGCATATACAAACACGGGCTGTATGCTGAGAGGGAGTATATCTACGCTTGTTGTACACGTCAAAAGATGAGGTGCGAAAAGGCGTTCAACGTGCTGCACAGGCGGGGCAGCTGTCACATAACGACGCGGGAGAACGCGAAATGCACCGTACTAAGCATAACGTACGCATAAGAAACTAACAAATGACGTAGGAAAGTGACGTCACAAAGAGCAGTCTCGTCACCTTGTTATTCTCCACCCTCAAAACTGTACAAAGTGCAGCACCAGCGCCACAATGTCCTCGCCTGCACTGACCACGCACCGCTTAGTTATTCGTTCCCACACAGTGTCTCGACACTGCGGACTCGGACCGGCCTGGAGGCGTCAAACGACACCGACCTGGCGTCAAATGGCACCAGCCTGCGGTGTCAAACGACACCCGCCGGGCGTCCAACGAAACCGGCCGGTGCGTTGACCCCTGTTGGCGGGTCATACCATACAGGTCAGGTCAGGTCAGGTCAGGTCCGGTCCGCCCCCCCCCCCCCCCTAGGCTCCGGCCCAGCCGCCGGTGTCCTCTGCCTGGGACGGCCGGCTGCCGGACTCACAGACACCGCCGCCCAACTGTGCTATCACCTGTCATCAGTTGCTCAGAGGCCGCCCACACCGGGTGACGTCACCCACCTTGTCAGTCACAGCTCCTTGGGCATGAACGCTGGACCACATGTGTCGGTATGGATATCACAGCCGCTGGACAAACGGCGGCCCTGGCCTTCTGGCACCTCCACCGTTCAGAAACAGGATTGGTCTATTCCACACGATAGAATAGAACTCCCCTGCACTGTGGCACCCAGACGCCAAAAGGGTTGAGCAGGCAGCAACCGCCAGTAATCCACAGCGAACTGAGAGTCAGGCAGCGATACTGAACTCGCCACTGAAGTAGCCACGGTGGCGCGTGGGCACTCGGTGCGTGAGCCCCACCGCGCCGTCCGCCCTCGACCACCCCATGGCCGCTTCCCGCGCGTTACTCTCTTGCTTCCCATGAAGTGGCCACGGTGGCGCGTGGGCACTCCGAGTGTGAGCCCCACCGCGCCGTCCGCCCTCGACCACCCACATGGTCGCTTCCCGCGCGTTACTCTCCTGCTTCCCATGAGCGGCTGGCGCCGTAGCAACACGTTTGCCATTCCAGCGCCGGCTTTGCGGTGAATTGAAGATTGTGTCACCAACTTCTCCCGTCTCCCTCCGCCCAGGGTCTAACCATGCATGCCTTGTGTACACGTTCATGCATTATGCATGCATGCATTCTGCATACTCGATGGTTCGCGTTGTGCTTGGACAACGAGGCGATCAACAAGTCGCACGCGACACCGCCAGACAGATTCATTACATGACAGATTCAGATTCATCCGCCGACAGATTCATCCGTGCGATCAACGAATAAGGGTTCCGGTTTGAAACACTGCACCTCGAGCCTCATGTCTCCTCCCCCTTCGGTCCTGCCAGCCTTTTTGTTTGAGCCGACAGCATCTACTGGTAGTCTCGCGAAGCACCGCGTCTCCGTAACGCTTCGACTACAGCCCATGCGCACGAGAACCGCCGGCGACGCCAAGTGTTCTCATCGCCCCCGTGTCCAGACAGCTGCCGGCAGCGCACCCAGTGTCCTCATCGCTACCATGACAGCCGCTGGCGACGCGCCCAGTGTCCTCATCGCCGCCGTGTCCAGACAGCCGCCGACGACGCGCCCAGTGTCCTCATCGCCGCCGTGTCCAGACAGCCGCCGACGACGCGCCCAGTGTCCTCATCGCCGCCGTGTCCAGACAGCCGCCGACGACGCGCCCAGTGTCCTCATCACCGCCGTGTCCAGACAGCCGCCGGCGGCGCGCCCAGCGTCACCCATCGCCGCCGTGTCCAGACAGCCGCCGCCTGCACCCCGGCTGCCTGCGGGCGGAGCGGCGCGCGCTGTGTGTCGCTCTCCCCATGGTGCGCGCTCTCGCTGAAAAACACGTGGCGACAGCGGACCAATCTGTCCGCGCGACACCGGCCACCCGGTTCAATCGCGGCATTTGTTCTGCGCCCTGCCATGTGCGTGTAAATAAAGCTGTGCTGTCGTGGCACGGCGTCGGCAGTCCACCGCTAAAACTGGTCATTGCCAGGGATAAATACCTTCGGTCAAGTGACAAACAGGAGCGCCGTGATGCCAAGGTTTACGTCGGGCATGCCCAGTCTAAGCGGTGTTCGTCCCTATTGTGTAAGGTAAAGGGCAACGTATTCTGTCATGCATCAAACGCGCCGCAATCCACAGGGGCGGCCAAGCTTGAAAGGGCATCGCAGCAATCGTACATAGCGGCTTCTGCTAAGACGGCCAAGTAAAATCCGGTACCGTTTCTGCCTCGTAAGGAACTACTATGTAATCAGATACTCATGTATTTATCCATATAACGAGTTTCCGCCCAGGCCTGCGGAACAGGCCAGTATCTTCGGGCCTTCCCTCTCAAGAGCATTTAAAACCACACGTTTTCGACTTGTAATTCGCGGTTTGCGGTCTACCGTGCTTAGCCCTGCATCGTGTTCTTTAGTGTTAACATAGCCCCATTGAGCTCACCGCTGTGGCCAGGGCCCCGTGGCCAAATTCCCGGTGATAGGCCGTTCGACCCCGCCCACACCGCTGCTGGCAACTGGCACCGGCAGCGCACGGCCGGGCCGGGCCGGGTCATCCTGTCCTGTCCTGTCCTGTCCTGTCCTGTCCTATCCTGTCCTGTCCTGTCCTGTCCTGTCCTGTCCTGTCCTGTCCTGTCCTGTCCTGTCCTGTTCTGTCCTCTCCTGTCCTGTCCTGCCCTGTCCTGTCCTGTCCTGTCCTGTCCTGTCCTGTCCTGTCCTGTCCTGTCCTGCCCTGGCTGCACTCTGCCTGTGCTCTGACTGTGCTCTGACTGTGCCCTGACTGTGCTCTGACTGTGTTCTGACTGTGTTCTGGGTGCTCTGACTGCACCCCGACTATGCTCTGACTGTGCTCTGACTGTCCTATGGCGGCCGACCGGAGTCCCAGCCGCGGCCCGAGGCGGCGTCACGACCGGTGGAACACCGCGCAGTGCGGAGACGCCACGCGCGCCGCGGCTCGCTCTCTTTCGCGACACGCGCGGCCGCCTCGGTGCCCCCCTCTCCCCCGAGGCGCTGAACGGGCAGAACTGCCACTACTACTCGCATTCATGTGGCGGCACAGCTGGCAGTGTCTGTATCGATATGTGACGGACGCCGGTGGACTGAGCAGCCCAACCCGTTCTTTCTGCTCTGTGATGCACGCTTTGCGTGGTTTGCGGCACGCGCCGAGCGCCGGGGCGGTGCCGGCCCGGCTCGCGAGGCCGGGACCCGAACGGCCGCGCTTCGGGCCGCTGCCGCCGCCGCCGCCGCCGACCTCGGGGTGTGGCCGTCGCGGCCCGGCGACGACAGCGCCATCTGCGCCACTGGCGGCGCCACCGGCGCGGCGGACCTGCGGCCGCGAGCGCAGCACGGCAGACGAGGAGAGGAGGACGACAGAGAGCAAGAGTCAGAGAGAGAGATAGAGCGAAGAGAGAGCCAAGAGGGCGCGGTACTCACGTTTGGCAGGCAAGGGCGAGGCTCATGATGGGCAGCGCCTGCAGGACGCCGGACGGCCGCCAGAGCACCACCTCCGCTTGCCAGGCGCCACTGATGATGTGACGCCACGAGTCCGACACGATCTGGGCGCAGGTCAGAGGTCAGGGTTCAGGCCAGGGGTCATGTCAGGGGTCAGGTCAGGGGTCAGATCAGGGGTCAGATCAGGGTCAGGCCAGGGTCAGGCCGGGATCAGGCCAGGGTCAGGCCAGAGTCAGGCCAGGGGTCAGGTCAGGGATCAGGGATCAGATTGGGGATTAGATCAGTGATCACATCGAGGGCCACGTCAGGGATCAGATCAGGGATCAGGTCAGGGGCCAAGTCATCCCCTACCAGGCACCGCGCGACAGCGACATGATCCGTGCGGACAGGGACCAAAGACTATGTCAGAGAAGAAACACCACGTTGTTATGAAATGACGATATCCACAGAAAGTTTCGATGTAACCAGAAAGCAACACGGATATGGGAGAAAATTACTCACGTGACTTGATTACAATGACCTTGATAATTTTCATGCTCTTTCTCAAATGTGCGTACACAAAATGTGACGCCGCCTCTAATGCATGGTGGCATATCGTTAACAATAAAGCACCGCCAGACATCATACCAACGCCATGATCTGAACCACCTGACTCAACAAAAATACAGCACGCAAAACGCCACAGCGCTCCACTTGAGTGATTTATGCAATAGGTAAAGCCAAGCGACACCTGGTGACCGACCTTTAATACCAGGAGTACGTAAAATGTGATGGAGATGGCGCTGATGCTGGCCAAGCTGTCCGTATTCCTTAGCAGACTGAGCGGCAGAACTATCAAGAAGCACAGCCCTGCAAAACGGGCGAGTGGACGGCGATCAGAACTGCGTGCGCTGCGCGACAGTCACGACACCGATCACATCTCAAAAACGGGGACGACAATGACGCAGCATCAAACTGTACTGCGCTCCCGCTCCCAGTCACTTCCATCACCAGAAATGACAAATGGCGTAGGTCCAAACACACTGCCACTCAAAGCGAAGCAGACTGCGCTGAATGCAGTTTCACGGTTCAGAATAAACCGAAACTTAAACGCAGCCTGACGGATTTCGGTGTCCGGACATCGAGCAGAAACAGCACGAACCGTTCAATTATCCAGATCGAGTTATCCGCCATCCACCATTATCCGCCATCACCTCTGCGCCACAGCTTACCGCAGAGAAAGACGGCCCTGAAGCGGCTCGTGTACTCGATGTCTAGGATTTGAGCCAGAATCTTGGGCCCCAAGTCGCCGGCGATGACGAAGAAGGAGACGCAGATGCCGAACAGAAATCCGATCTGGATCACCTCGATCGCAAACTTGCCCATCGGGCCGAAAATGTGGAACGCTGCGAAAACGACGCACTGGGTTACAACTGACGGTGAGTCACCACCGACAGCAGAATGTTTCCATCGAAACGTACGGTCTTTGTTTTGCGTTTCCAGTTGCCTCACGTTCACGCACTGGTGTGGTTACTACCGCGAACATCGCACTGCGTGACGTCTGTGGAACAACGGCATGACATGCGAGGGAAGCGACATGGCGCGGGACTGAAGGATTCATCGGCAGGCTTGGGGGCTTATCACCGTCAAAACGCACTGGCCGCCATAGGCAGCTACCAGCGGGCACCCGCTGGGCTCGACGCGCCGGACAACATGGACAACGATGAAAGGCACCATGATGGAAAATGATGAAAGGCACCATGATGGACAGTGATGAAAGGCACCATGATGGGCAATGATGAAAGGCACCATGGTGGACAGTGATGAAAGGCACCATGATGAGCAATGATGAAAGGCACCATAATGGATGATGATGAAAGGCACCATGATGGACAGCGATGAAAGGCACCATGATGGACAATAATGAAAGGCACCATGATGGACAATGATGAAAGGCAACATGATGGACAATGATGAAAGGCAACATGATGGACAATGATGAAAGGCAACATGATGGACAATGATGAAAGGCAATATGATGGACAATGATGAAAGGCAACATGATGGACAATGATGAAAGGCAACATGATGGACAATGATGAAAGGCACCATGATGGACAATGATGAAAGGCACCATGACGGACAACGGTGAAAGGCACCACCACACCGCAGTCGCAAGCACCTAAGAACTCGTAGCTGCGCCGCTTGGTGCTGATGGCCGACTTGATGAGGAAGTGGCAGTTGAGCCTGTTGATGTAGCCACTCAGGATCAGCAGCAGTATGCCCAGAACCAACCCGCACTGCCAAATACAGAGAACCTCGATTACGGGGACAGTCCAACTCTGCGCACCGTCGCATCACCCTCGTGCTTCACTTGAGGTACAGCTTTTGTTATGATAAAGCATCTTGTGATGCAGTGCTAAGACTTCTCATCGCAACGTTGCATTCATTCTGCGCAGCATGTTAAGCCTCATTGAGAATTTCCCTGAATATCCTGTAGATAATAGCTAATCCCAGATTCTCACTAGATGTTAAAGACCATTGAATGTCTTGTCCTTTGAGAATTTCCCCACGCGCGTCTGAGAGAAATGCACACTGCTGACGACAGGTGACAGGCTGAGCATGCAATGGCCACAGTAACAAGTGCTGAGGGGCCTACGAGATGCGTTACCTGCTTGAAGCAGTATGGCATGGCCAGAATGGACACGCCGATGATGGAGTTGCCCAGCGTCAGGATCTGCTTCATGTTCCCCTCCGACATGGTGGCAAGGTAGTGGTGGACAAGTTCTAGCTTTGGTCAGCTCCTGCTATACGTGATCTGTAGAGCTGACTGGTGAATTGCACCAAGCCTGCAGCAGATCATGCTATACATCACACAGGTGTTCATCCATCATCAGCTGTTTTACTGCTTGTCCCTCCTTTCCCCCCGCCCCACCCCCATGTCTATCTGCATTTGTGGAGGTAGTACAGATGTTCACCTTAGAAATTCACACCTCTGACCAGGCCACTAGGAACAAATTGAGACAGTACATGGATTTTTGCTCTGCAGCTTCTCAATGTCACGCTGTTGCCTGATGCTGTCCCACAGCATGCTGTCTGCCTTGCACAACAACTGCCTGTCAGGCAGATAGGATGTGTATGTTGTGAATGAAGACAACCTTTCATGGGCTGGGGTGATGACCAACTGGCCAGTGGTGCAGTGGCGGACACAGTGATGGACTGTTAAGATGGAATACCAAGAGATTAGCTGTCAGGCTGACAGACCAAACAATAGGCCATAAATGCTAGATAACTAACTGAGGCAGCTGGGCAGAGGACAAATCACTTTTTGGATTCAGTTCCATATCCAATCAACTGATGCATGATCTGTTAGCCTAATTGATCAGCTGTCACCAGCACCTTGAACATCACAGTGTACAGCCCTGCAGCATAGGAGGACACCAAAGGTCCTCATTTTATAACATACATGCAGTGATAAAGACAAAAAGAGGTTAGTGGTAGAAAGCTCAGACAGCTATGCCATGATATTTGCCATGTGCACTATTTGTAGGCTTCTGTGATGAAATGCTGCTATCACTGTTATCACTATCACAAGCTGCTATCACTCACACCTTGGTAAAAAGCATTGTTTACCTGACCATTCTTGAATTCAAGCACAACCTCTGTCCAGACAAGATGGTAAATTACTCAGTCTGTTCGGTGTAGTTGCAAGGTACAAAACACATACAAAAAAGCAATATTATTGGCTTCATCTTTAAAAAAAGAAGAGAGAGAGAAAGGAGAGAAGGATTTATAAATTGGCTATAGCCCATTGTGAAAACATAAGTGATAAATTCCAAGCTACAGTTTTGACTATAAATTAGTCAAAATGAGGTTTTTAAATCAGTGCCATAACACAGATAACTAAGTTACCAGGGATTCTGCAGGGAAAAATTGCCAGTCATTATAATAATTCACTGCATATCTAAACAAGGCTAGAAATGCTAGAAAGTGTTCAAACATGCAAACAATTTCAAGCATACCCTTGTCCCTCACTTTTTGAATTAAGTGTGTCTTTACATCATTTTAACTATAAGAAGTTTTGGAACAAGAGCTATATGCATCAAAATCTAAAACATGTTAAGGCTCAGAACAGCATACAATGTATCTATTACATTTCAGACGCGTAAGGAAAACAGGCGGTATGAAACTAGACCTAGCAACATGCTGGGAATAGTTACCATCACATCCCACCCATGCGCACACACCTTAGATAAAATGGACGTCTTGAATCTCGTACACCGGGGTGAGGAGAATATATTATCCCTAACGAGCAATTTGTTCACATAAACATATCGCATCACCACACACAACACGTCACGTCACACTGCTTCAAGCCGCGATACAATATTTTGTTTGGATTTTGAGGTACGTCTAGTCTGCGTTATTTCTGCCTACACACAGGTGGCTGCATCAGCTGATACAAAGTAGTGCTAATATGCAGCAAATTTATAAATCCTACGACTTGTCTAACGCAAGTTCGTGACCACGTGCATAGGTGTAATAATAAAATCGCACAAAAAAGTATCCCCAGAAATCCCCAAAGAAGCAATTTTTCTTCTCAAGGTTACCCCTAGTTTGCATTTGTTTTATGCTTTTTGCATTCTGAAGACTGTGTTAGCACTGCGGATCCAACGAAAATTGCCCTTATCACGTCAGGCGGTCCCTTGAAAGCATCGTTCGGACCGCGTAAATTTCATGACATTTACCCAATATTATGGACAGCCCTCACGTAACGATACGCAAATATCGTTCAACTTTTTGAAAAGGCTCGCACACATTACAGGCACGTTGGAACATGGAGTCATTCCACAACAAATCGACCTCGGATGCGTTGTTTTTCAGAGTGCAGCCCTTTCGAATTTGCCAAAGCACGTCTATGAAGAAAGTTTTGACTGAAACACGATTCTGTAGGTTTTAGAGCTGTAGTGAAAGCATGAAAAAAACATTTTACTACCTAAGGCCTTATTTATCTCAATAGAGCCTCACTTGACGGAGGGCCTCTGAAAGCAAACGAGAACGATGAATGTCAGCAGCCATATCACAAAATCATTGCACTCTCCCCCGCCCATCAGTTTACATCACATGACAACAGAAAGACCTGAACACTCCTACTTGCGCTTTGACCCTGCGCCGCGATTAGAGGTGGAAGGCTCCGGCAACTGAGTGCATTACGCAGCCACTCGAGCGTTACCCACACTATACACGTTCTTAGCCGCGCAATGACCATTTGCAGACCATTTTTATGACGTAGTCCCGGAAACGCTCAGGCGCGCTCGTTCTACGAGAGGAGCGTCGCAATTGACTCGCCGAAACAGACTCGGACGGAGACGCCTTGTTCTTTAAAACAGCTGTGTCTGTGTCTGAAGGCCCTGGCACCGGCGAACATGGGGGTTGTGGTGAAAGCATCCCTATCATATGATCGGGCATAGAGGGGGCACCAGCAGGAGGAGCATTCAGCGCAGATGGCACCTCTGAGAGTGAGGTCTGAGAGTCTCCAGGAACAGCTGAATGATGCGCGGCCGAGCAGGCGACCCCGTGAGGGGCTGGATGGCTGAGCGAGACGGTGGCTGCAAGACCGTCAGCTAGACGAACATGAGCGCACTCAGGATTTGCCTCCAACAACTCGACCTCATGAACGGGAGGTTTGTACTTACTACTGCGCACATGTCTCCTCATGAGAACTCTGCCTGGGGTAGCTAGCCATGTCGCCACGGAATGACCACCGGTCGAGCGACGCCGACACTGAAAAAGGCGTTCATGCGACGTGACATTGGTGGCCGCACACAAAACGCCACGGATGGAATGGGGGCACCTGGAACGACCTCTCCCCGCAGCGAAGTTTTTAGGCCGCGCGACCGCAACGCCAGACATACAGCCCTCCAGATAGTACCGTTGTACCGCTCTACTTGGCTGTTCCCTCGAGAATTAAAAGCTGCCGTGCGGCTGCACGCTATTCCGCGACTGTGGAGAGAAACTGACTCAGCTCCGCCGGCCTGAAGGCCGAGCCACGGTCGGAATGCACGTAGGCAGGCATGCCGAATATGGTGAAGAGGCGGCACGAGTAGTCAATAACAGTGGCAGACGTCAGAACGGCGCACGGAAAGGCGAAAGGAGACCTTGAAAACCCGTATACAATAACGAACGTGTATCGATTTCGAGACGACGTGGGCAGCGGTCCGTGGAAATTGTTGTTCAGTCTTTCGAAAGGCTGGGCGGCCTTGATAAGCGTCCCTTGGTGAAGTACATGGAGCTGAGTTTTCATCTCTGTACGCACAGGACGCAAAACAGACATGTTATTTACGTCGCTTAGGGAGAATGGCAAGTTTCTGCACCGCACGAAGTGTGACATCCGGATGATGCCGAGGTGCCAGAGCGATGCGTATAGGTCTGTGAGGGTGGTCCCATTGACAGCGGCACAGGAGCTTCGAGAGAACTGTGCCTTCTAGCGAGAGAAGGCATCTGCTGCAGCATTCTCTGAGATGTCGTACAAAAAACAGGGAGCTCAATACGCCAACGCGTGATCTTGTCTTTTGTTTTATCTCTCCAGGTTGTTTCGCGTGTACTACGGTGTACTCATGGGTGTAGGAACAGGGTATCGGGGGGGGGGGGGGGGGGGGCATGGCCCTCCCCCCACTTTTCAAGGTGGGAGGCCAACAGTGCTAACTGCCCCCCCCCCCCCCCGCTTTTCAGATTAAAGTTGCTGCTTTTGCACCACATTAAACATGCGTGCCGATTCACATAGTTCACCAGCCATCTTCCTCAAGATGCGTCATCTTTTTCGTTTGCTTATTGGCAGTCGGTTAACGTCACAGCCGCAGTACTGATACCGCGCGGCCAATAGAGACTGCCACGCCGGGCGTCGAGACTGTTGTTGCTACTACTTGCGAGCGCGCGTTTTCGAAACCATGTCACGTAGTTGCTTTGCCGTTAATCAGTTCCGACTGAATCTTGAACATTTTAAGACGAACATGAATTAGTCATGTTAATAAAATTTGGGACTCCATTTCATCTACAATCTACGTTCAGGGAGTTTTCAATACCTCTGAAGAACACGGAAAACACGAAACTGGAGTCCATATGATAATTATTGGACCACCTGCGGCGACTAGGGATCTTGTTGCATCGATGAAGGTTCCTGTGCTGATCCGGAACAAACTGCGCGGGTCAGAAGGCCTACCGTGTCTGGGAGGGGAACAATGTGATATGATATATAATTCTAATGAAGACCGGATCGACCAGGAGAACCCATCCTGTGTCGCCAGAATAACAGCCAGGAGACACTTCACGATGGGACGGAATGGCCCTTCAGCCTTTGACCAGAACCGGTAATGTGCCCCTGGTGTTCCGCTCAAGGGGTCCCTTGCCCGGAAGGAAATAGGGGGTCACATTATTGTTGAGTAGGGTGGGTCGAAATGAATTAAAACAACGAACAAGGTCATCCCATGTCTGCCTGAGAACGCTCATTTTTCGGAACAGATTACTTGAAAATTTCATCAAAAGGTTTGAACATGCCCGCCCGCAACCTCGGGAGGAGGGACAACGATGGCCTGGGTTGAAGCTTCCGTAAAACCGAACGGCGCCGGCCACTGCAAGTGCCACCAGACTTGCAGTGTTACAGGAAGGCGGAGTAACACGGCGGGCGCCGTGTTACTCCGCCTTCTGGGCGGATTAACTGTTACGGCAAGACGAAAAATTTAGATTCTTCTTTTACTCTTCCGGGTCCACCACCAGATTCCAGCACCACTTCGCGGTGCTGTAAGGGCCAATCCGTTATTATCATCAGTCTTAGAAAAGCACACGTGAAATATGCTCCCAGACTGCCTTTTAGATGTGAGATTTGATGTCCTGAAGCGTTCAAAGGTACCTCTTTCCGAGGCGCTATCATTTTCGTCCATCTGTTGGCCAGAGCTCAGTATTAACTGCTGGTCCAATCCCGCGTGGCCTACGGAGACTGCAACGCCTGGCGTCAAGGTTTTTGTTACTAACGTTTACTAGCGCGCATGCTCAAAATTACGTCACATAATTTGTGTTACTAAACTAACCGATTTAAATGTTCGAAGGTAGTTGTTTCAAAAGCGTCATCATTTTCGTCCACCGGTGGGCCACAGAAAAAAAATAGTCACTGGGCTGACGCGCCGCGGACTATGGAGACTGCAACGCCTAGTGTCGAGGTTTTTGTTGCTGAGATTTGCGAGCGCGCATGTTAAAAACCACGTTAGATAGCTTGCATTTCTAATCGGATCTGACTGAATGTTAGATATTTCCAGACAAACACGGCTTGGCCATGTTAATGTACATTGTTGACAACTCGGTCTACAATCAAATTTTCATTTTCAAATTTCGATCAAACACGTCCATCTTCAATCTACCTTCGCGATATATTTTATGTCTGAAGAATCGTGGAATTTCGGCTCCCCAGGAAAAACAATTTGAAATGGAAAAATAATCTTATAAAGCTGGACAGCCTTATTTGCCGAATAGTATAGATTAGTCGAACAGGCAAGATTATGCACTACTGAGAAATAGCTCTAGATGCATATCTAGCGTAGCAGCCATGACATTTGAATAAAGAGCGATAACAGCCTCTATCTCTACCCTCTCCCCCTCCCCCGGTCATCAGGCTTGCTTTCCAGAAAAGGTTATTGAAGTATGCCCCTCCAATTTTTGAACACTACGCCTGTGAAACAAGGTCAAACAAAGGTCAACAAGGCCTCTGAGTGTACTGATAAGAAACTAGGAGCACATGAATGTGCCCTATGACGTCACGAATCCTATTTTCAGCTTACTCTCGCAAAAACGGTTTGCGTTGTGTAAAGTTTGGGAAAGTGACTCGGAGCGCTAAATGTCTATATTTTTCTGAAACGTGAGTGTAAACATAACATCCAAGGTCAATTGGGCGCATCTAGTGACCTAGTTTGTTCTTAAGTGTCATGTTATGGAAACATAGTACCTACGATTTGTTTAGATATGCAATTGAGCTCCAACCTATTCCTGTCCAAACTAAGTAAGAAATCGATGGAACACGTAATGAGCCGGTCGGTCAGTATGGAGCAACCGGGAGCGGTCGGCTCACTCCATCGGGAATCGTGGCTATGACCTCGAAACCGACCGGGTCTCCGAAACAACGCATGAATGAAGGCTGTATTTTGATCGACCCCATGTCCCTGTTATCCATCGCGAGTTACAGAGATAGGGAGCCAAGCTGTATTTCAGCGTTATGATGAGCAGCCAAATACTATCAGCTCAAATATCGTCGCTTATAAGATGCTATGTTACTGATCGTTTTTTATGTCGGTTGGTGCAAATACAAAAAAGGTAACTCAAGCAGA